TCCCATCGGAGGCAGGACCTCCCAGTCATCGTCTTCCTCGTCGTACCCACGTATTCCTTCCCCATCTTGGTCTGCAAACATTCCGGGTATCCTTGCGTGGGTTTACCTGTCACAATTTAGGTAAGGCAGTTTTTTAATCACCTGAGACCTAGATACTGCCTGCCTGAAGTGCTGGAAAAGTTGAAGAGAACTGGTTTCCAAAATATTAGAAAGTCAATTTTTCTATTATTTAGCCTTAGGTGACTATGTAAGATAAGAGATATTTGCACATCTGAATTCTTCACCATTAAAGCCACAAAAGTGGAAAAATATATGAAAACAAGCATGCAGCAACCTTAAAGCATACCTTCAAGAGCGGAACGCTCATACACTTCATAGCAGAATGGGACATTGCACTGACCCCGTCCTTTCCCAACGTCTTCTCCATCCTCAGTAAAACACCAGAGACTGTCATTGTTCGGGTCAGGATTGCGACAGTAGTTGTAGGTATAGTCCTTGAGTTCGTCAGGGAATGCGAAGAAGTTCAGGAGTTGAAATCGCTTGGCGTCGGACGTCAACCAGGGTTGACAATTCCGACCACCTGCATCAACGTTCCTGAACCCTGCATAATCCCATCCTTCTTCAGTCAATCTGCATTCCACGGGTTCTGAGGGTCAAGAGAACATGGAATCGTTCCACTGCAAGAGTAATCATTAATGGCTATGATCCATAACTGGAAACATGGGCATGTCTGTGGATGAGCGAAAAGTGAGAGACGAAACGATTTATTAATCATGAAACCTCACATCTGTGCATGGGTCACATCGTTTTGCCCATGTTTAAAAGTGAATGCATTTTAGGTATTGATATCACTCGTTCTAATCCGTTGCGTCTTGACATGCGATTCTCCCCGTCGAATCATTGTTCCCTGTATTTCCAGAGTGGTTCAAAGTTCATTGTTTAGGGTTCGGGTTGGGAAGTCAAGAGGTAGTTCTGTCCATTAGGATATTTTTTGTCAAGGTCGGGTGTTCATGATTCATAAGGCAGCCTTAGCCCTCTTCAAGATCGACTTTTTTGTGGAAGCGTATCCACGCAATGCAAACCGCTAATGTCATTCACTTTTATTGCTTCCCTCATTCAAGATGGTATCCAATTTAGCCTTTATGATTATCACGGAATTGACACCATCATTTGAAGTATAACTTACGTTAACTTCTTCGCATTTAAAGAAATCATGTCGCAATATCAGCTTCACCTTGAATTTACGCAACTTAACCGTTTTGCTCAACGATTGCACAATTGTCCAAAGGGTTTTAAAGGGGAATTCAAATGATTACAAGCCATCGATTAATTCAAAGCAATTGTAGGTAATAAGTATGATTAACCCAGATATACTGTGCTGAGCAAACAAAAAACAAAAAAAAAGTAAAAACAGAACTAGTCTATCTGTTTAATGGAGCGAGATAAGTGTTTGTGATTAAGTGTGCGAACAGGACACTTTAGGTCCATATGAAAAAGACTGACGGGGAAGGGGGGGATGAATTGGGAAAAACTGAAGGAAGAACACGGGAATGGAGGATGAGGTCTTTGGGCAAGAATGTCAATTGATCGTCCACCACGTCGGCAGTGGTTCTAAACGTTCGAGCCAGATGCTGCTGACTTCGAGCAGCCAACGTCCTTTGCAGCAGCAGCCGAGAAAAGCTTAGTACCAAGCTCATGGGTTCAGAGGGAAACATTTTCCCACTCTTCATCGCTTCATCATCACGATGATCATCGAAATAATTCTTATCATTGATTTCTCCGAAAAAAGGTTTCAGTGAACAGGTGAAGCCCGAACGTAACGGATGATCTGGGCAAAACGTTTTGTTCACACTCTTAGCCACAACTGATAATCGCGTTCCGTTCCTCAGATAGTCCCATTCGGTTTTTTCTTCTCAACTCTGAAGGTCGTCATAAAACTGTGAGATACCAGGAACTTAAAGTATCAGCAACATGGCTTCGATCAGGGTTTGAAAATATTCTAGGCAGATTTTTAGATGTCGTAGGCAATGCTCTTTTTCTAGCAGAGTACCCTTGGAGACTAAAGGATCGCAGACCTTTGCGGTCAAGGCAGAAGGGGATGTTGCAGTAGTCCCATGAGTATGTGGAAACGAAGCACCATGGTTCCTCTGCCGATGTTGGATTGCGGCAATAGTTGAGGTCCTGCTTAGCAATGAATTCGTAGATCTCCTCTCTATTCATGAAACCCTCTATGTCGGTATCATATCCCAGCACCTGATCACCTAATAATGTAGGAACCTTAAATATTCCAAGTACATCCCTTCGCGGAACCTTCTTCCATTCCATGCAATTCCATCCCATTTGTGTTCGGCTCTGGGTCCCTCTGTACTCCTTCCCCATTGTCGTCATTCTGCATTCCGGATATATCTGCAATGCCTCAGATCCATCTGCAATGAAAGTATAGTGTGAGGAAAATGGGGTAGTGCGTATGAAATGCATTCAGTAAAGAATATAGAATCAGGATGATTTCACATCTAATGATAGCTTACAAATGAATATATTTCGATTTTTTTTCTTCAATGATGCATTTGGTAGTATTCGTTCAGCTTTGTGGAGTGGGTTTCCCGTCTCATGTAAACATAAAACATACTTAAAACTTTCAAAGGTGCTTTTATAAAAGACAATAAAGCTGAGGCCTATTAAAGATAAATAGTAAAAGGGGCCATTCAAGGTGGGATGACAACATAATCACACAGAAAACAAGACAATATAATCAAGGCCAATAGGATATAAAATATAAGAAGAAATAAAATACAGATGAAGAAGCGGCAAGGCAGTGGCATGCAGGTGGGAGAAACAATCACAGTCCAATCACAGTCTCATCACAGTCCCATTACAGTCCAATCAATGAGACGCGTTGGAAGGGGCTCCAGCCTGATACAGTAAGGCGAAAACGCAATAACGGGGCTCCAAATCCGGTCCCGGCCCGATCATTGCTACAGGGCTGCACCACGACCCTCGCCGAGCCGACCTGCCCTCCGCCATGCCCAAGCAACACGCCTTCCCCCGTCTCTTTCCTTGCTTCCGGCCATGCCGGCATTTCATAAAAAGGGTTTCCCCGCTCTCACAGACCAAAAGCCACTCAAACACTACATTAGCTTGTAGGTTTCAGACAATCTAATCTGAAAATGATTCCCATATTTCCCTATGATATCTGACTTTTGTTACACTCTGTGTATACGATCAGGAGGGAGTGACTGATGCTAATTCGAGCCATGTTCTCGTTGAGGTAGAAACCTGAAACTTGGTACAGAAGAGGCTATTAGGATGCTGAGTTCAGGAAATTTCCGACTATGGAGATACATGCCCTTGGGCGGCACATTTAAGGATGCGCTTTCAAATAAAAATTTTGCCTCAGTAAAATAAGCAGACATGGAAAGCTGAAACTGGATGGGAACGTGCCTACTGACAGGGATATAAAAATGCATACTTTTGAAATACATGCTCTGGGGCCACATATTTTGGGGGACGTTTTGAAAAGAAATTACTCGCTTCAGGGAAACAGAGGCAGATAATACTAAAACTTGGCTTTTACATACTTGTTAAAATGCTGATTTCAAAGATAATCCAACTTTTAGGATTAAACCCCTGGGGGCATATTTTTTGGAAGGAGATTTTTGCAGGATTTTTCAGTAGAAATTTAAAAATGGTTTACCCTAGTAACCACTGAAAGAATGAAACTCAAAATTTCAAGTTATCTAGGATTCACATTATACGTTTGTCCCACACATAACAAAATTAACTGGCAGGGAAAACATTACAAATGTTTAAATTTGCATTAATATTTAAATATTGCAATATCATGTACATGTTGTGTATCATTTAAAGCACCTTTTAAGAGTTTGCATTTCATCCCTTGCATTAGGATGCTTATTGCCTAACTAAAGAGCTGCATATTGTTTGGTATTTCGACCATTTTGTCAAAGTCTTATGATATGTCTGAAAAGGTTTAACTTAGGATGGTACAATTTTTTATTTTTACTATCCTCCACAATGCCAAATAGCATGAATTTTCTAAATAAAATGTATTACAGTATAAGTCTCTTTCTTATAAAATTTACAAAAAATTTTGTTGGTGGGACATTACTAGATATGGGATAATTTTGATTTGATATGTCGCCTCTCATATGTATGACCTTGTATGAATTTATCACGCTGTCTCCTACCATGGCGTAGCAATGCACATCAGCATCAGGAGCTGTAGTCCTGTACCTAAGAGAGAAAACATGCATGACATGTGTTTCAGAAGGGACAAATATGCTTGACATTTGTGGGTAAAAGGAAAAAAACTATTCGTTTTCAATATCATTTCAGAACTATGACTATTTCAATTATCTGAAATTCCTGTAGGTATGATGACGTCTTCAGGTGAAAAATATTAACTCACCATTTTCGATTCGCCTATTTATGGCCCTACCATTTCGGGTTGGACAGAAAAAATTGCCAATTCTGTGGACACCTATAATCCTTTGCAAATCTAGAGAGACACAGTCTCTATTTATTCTAACCATGTTCCAGAAAGGTTAGAAATCTGAAACTTGGTACACATGTACCTTTTGGGTTGCAGAGTTAAGAAAAAATCCGACTTTGGAGGTACATGCCCTGATTGTACAAAATTTGGGGGTAGAAGTTTTTTTTAATGTACATTGTGATGGATAAGGCTATCATCGAACGATTCCACTGCATGTCACCGTTTCGGTTGTGTAGTGGTAGCAAATCAGAGCAGTAATTGTGACTCCAAGGTTCAATTCCCCTCAATTCCATGCCTTTTCTGGCTTCTCTAGCCTTCGAAGTCCCGTTGTTTGAATATAACGAAGAGACGTGGAAAGCTGAAACGTGGCATAGATGTGCCTACTGACACGATAAGAATGCAACATTTTAGACCCATGCCCTGGGGCATATTTTTGGGGCCCGACGTTTTCACGTATTTTTTTTATACTGGTGTATTGAGCTAGTGTGGAAAGATGAAACTTGGTACATAATTACCTACCGGGATGATGCGTGCACTAAAATTCAGACTTTGGAATGAAATGCCCTGGGGGCATAAATTTCAGAGGGAGATGTTTTCCCTTAATTTTTTGCATTAGTTAAACCGATGGACATGGAAAGCTGGAACTTTGGATGAAGGTGACTACCAAGATAAGGAGTTAATGAAAAATGTTAAGTCTCGATGCATCCCTGGGGGAAATTTCTCGAGGGGCGATGTTTAAAAAAAAAAAGAAATTGTCGTGCGAATTGGACAGAAATGGAAAGGTGAAACTTGGCACACATATAAGTGACGTGATATTATTGAGTTAAGGGAGTTTTCAGCTTTCACGGTGCATCCCTCAGAAGTGCCTGTTTGATGGGTGAGTAGAATCCTACTTTTGTAATGTCCCTTAGCGTAGATTATTGGAGGGAAGCATTTCAAAATGTATCCTTAACCCTTATAAAAAGGGACAGGAGAAAACATTCCGAGTTAGGGAACTAAAAACCAAAGAAGTAATGACTTAGATGAAAACAAAGACTTTCGACCCCATAAGTCACGTATTTCAATGGGACGTAGTTTTTTTTTTCTCCGTGCTTGCCATTTTGCCATGGAGAAATGAATTAATCACTATCCAAGGTAATGTAGTGCCGAAGGCGCAACCATTGCTAGTTTGTTTGCCTGATAGACGAACGTGACGGACTGACTTCTAGCCATGTTCTAGAAGGGCTAGAAATCTGAAACTTGGTACACATGTACCATTTGGGATGTACTGTAGAGTTCGGAAAAAATCCGACTTTGGAGGTACATGCCCTGGGGGTGCACATTTTGGGGGGGGGG